GGAGTGTAAAAACAATTAGACCAATTAATTTCCTGGAATGAAATGGGGAATCTTTGTTTCCTTAATTGGAGCTGAGGTGGGAGGAACATCCCATGGAAGATTAAAAAATCCCTTCCAGTGATTATGAAATCACAGCCTGTTGCTGTAATGATCTTTTTGCAGGCATTTGGGGTTGCTGGGTTGGGGGTGGGGAGGGGGGCAAATGGTGGAAGGGAGGGGTTTTCTCTTATCATGGCTTAAAAGTTGCTCTGAATCCAAGAGGACAATGTAAAATGATTCTGCAGTGAAGCCAACCAGACTATCCACCCTCCTGGAGTTTTATTTATAAAATAAATTCTTATCCTATAAATAATTTTGGTGATCAAAATTCACCAAAACCTTTTTATTGTCCTATTTTATCCTTGTGGTTGATAGCAAAGCATGCCTTTTTCATAAAGAGGTCTTCATCCCTTCCTTAGCACTACTCACTACTGTTAAAATCAACCTTGGAATCCCTCTACTGCATTCATTTTCCCCAAAGTTTACAAGATTACTGAAAGCACAGAAAGCTTGCATCTTGGAGATATTAAATAATATTCTAAAATAACAGAACTTCATTTCTCCCACCACCACTATCACCACCAGATGGTAGAACAGTCCCCTTTTAAATCCAACACTCTGTTGCATTCAGGAGTCTTGGGCTAAGTTGGGTTGCATGCATATATTTTCAACTATGGTCTCCAGAAAAGGTAAAAGGTGTCTTGCGTTGGCCAAAACAGTCTGAATTGTTTCTTCCAGACATGGATGAGGATTTTAGGGAATGCCTGAAGAATTATGGCAATGATATTGCCAGATCAGCTAGAATGCACATAAAGAGAAATCAGGACAGCATACCACTCACTGGGACACAACTTGCTATCAAGATAAAGGTGAGAGTTATGGAATCAAGTGAGATGGCCACCCTACACCTTTGAATTTGTACTTGGCATACAGATGTTTCTCTTATATCCAAGAGAGAGATCAATCTCTTAGTTGAAGAGCAGTGTTTCTCAACCTCAGGAACTTTAAGATATGTGGACTTCAATTCCCAGAATTCCCATGCTGGCTGGAGAATTCTGGGAGTTGAAGTCCACACGTCTTAAAGTTGCCAAGGTTGAAAAACATTGCTCTACTCTAATACAATTACTACTACTCTAATACTATTACAATTACCTCTATGCTGTACTCTGTACTGTACAACACTGTTTATCAGCAAGTTTAAGAAGTGTGGACTTCAACTCCCAGAATTCCCTACCCAGCATACTCTACAACCTAGTTCTCTATTGCTATCAGTGTCTTCTTCTTACAGAGCCTATTTCTTTTTTCTCTCTCTGGGCTTTCTTGTACTTTTTCTTCTCTTCTGTCACTTTTAACAGCCAGCAGGTGGGGCTCTTGTACCATTCCAAGTTGTGCTTTTCCTTGCTGCTGTACATTTGTTCCCTTGGAAGGAAAAACACCTCCTGTCTTTTTGCTGCTGATGGCTGCAGAGCTGCAAAAACACACGTCTCCTCTCCACCCTCCCACCCACCCGTGTCACGGTTGCTGTTTTATTGGCAACTCTGCCATGCTGATGCTGGGGGAAAGGCTCAGATGGGAAGGAAAGGAAGGCGCCTGGGGCCCTGCAATTCTCTCAAGCAGTCTGCCCTTCCATGGTCTTCTGCAAGCACAGTCTTTGTGGGATTCTCTATTCTGGATAGCTGAAGAATGGTTATATGGGGAAGGACCCTGGAATCTGCAGTTTGTACTAAAATTATACATGTAGATAGACAGGCACTTCAGAACAGGAGAAGACCTGGGTCTCCTGTTCAAAAGATGATTTCATAAAAAGCCAGAGTTGAAATGCCGTTGAGTTTGACTCCCTGCTCGGTGCAAGAATCCAGCTGAAAAGCATCCAGATGAAGGCCTGTTGACGTACCACTTGAACACATTAAGCGAACGGTAATTTAATTCCATTGTTACTTGGCCCTGTTTGTAGCCGGTGGGTAGCTACAAAAGCAAGCTGGTAGTTCTGAATCTCATGGGGAGTGTTAGTTCCACATTCAGTTGTAACGTAGCCTGGTTTGAGCCCTGTTGCTGCCACACCCAGAAGGGAACAGTGTTGTTCCCTTCCTTCAATTAGTGATGGGAGGAATTGTACAATGTGCTTTGTCTTGACTGGGCACCCTGATGCAGCTGATGGGTGTCTCTGATCCCTCATAGCATGGCCCAAATTATCACAAGCCTAGTGCATGATGACACCCTGCCATCCCGCCCCACCTTGGCATACTTATGGGGCTTTTCAGCAGCTGCCATGAGTGTTCTGTGTTTGTGTGTGTGTGTACGTGTGTATGTATAAGTAAAAGATAAACATGAAAAAATATAAAGGGAAGTTAAGAAAAAGAAAAAAGTGCACAGAACAGTAGAGATAGAAAGAGAAAAAAAGAAAAACATAATTAAAGAAGCAACTTCCGATCTTCTTTACAACAGTTACAAACAACATTCTCCCTATGTTTATACAGTGTTCTGCAATGTTCTAATCCTGTTTCTTACTCTGAGCCTGTGGTCTGTTTGTTGCTTTTCAATGCCATTACACTTTTCATGTTTTGTTTTTTGTTATTTATTTATGTATTTGCAATTGTGTTAATCATTAACTTTCAAGTTCTAGCCAGCTCAGAAAAGGCATTATTTAGACCAAAATTCTATGTGAAAGGAATATGATACACATTGTGGAAAATAGTGTGCATGTCTGTTGTGTACTTTGTCCTGTTAGCGTAGGTCTCTGTGCAGGTGAGTTACAGGTAGATTGTCTACATATTTGGAGATACTCTGAATGGACGTCTGTAGCAGCCTTTTGTTAATCCATTTTTATATGTTGAACCCTCCTTTTTTTTAATTCTTTCAGGATTTGTCAGATCTCATGAAACAATATCATTTTGGTTTTTCCTCACCCATACAGGTACCAACTTCCCCATTTTCCTTTTATACTCTTCCCCAAAAGACACTTATAGCTAGTTGGCATTTTTTAAAAAGCAAAATGTCCTTCAATTCATGCTCCACATTTACTGATACCATGAACACATCCATGTTGTTTTCTGGGCGACTATGTAAAAATGATTTGCTTTTACCCTTTTTGGTTTGTTTTTGTTTTTGTTTTCGTCTTAGTCTGTCTTACAATTCTAATATTTCTCGGTGGGTTCCCAAGGAGGAATTAATGGGGCCTGGCAAACATAATGGGACATGAAGAAAAACAGCAAAGGAATTTTGGTGAAACTAAATTGGACTGGGCCTAGTTAGTTTTTGGATGGAAAAATATCCATTTGTTGAATTCTGTAAGGGTGGAAGATGGAATGAGACTATCATAAATAAATAACCTGATAGGTATGGCTTGGGAGGTTCGTGGCAGGAAATTCAGATTCTGATAGTGGTGGATTCTGCTGTTGTAATCATTTCCACCAAAGAGGTGCAGATATGAAGCCAAATGGGGCTGACATGAGTAGACCTGATGCACACATCCAATCTTATACCTCTGTCTCTCTTTATTCCTTTCCCTGTCTCTTCTGGGATTTGAGGGAACTTAAGGGAAGATTAATCTTTTCTGTAGCCACATCTGCTCCCCTTTCCCTTTTCCTTCTCCTCAGATGGCCAACACCTTCAACCTGAACACCAAGGAACAATTACAGAAGCAATTTACAAAGTTCATCCAAGAGCAGGTAGGATTAAGAGGAAGAACCTAGTTTTGTTCTAGTTTTAATTTCAAAAAAGGCAAAACATTTAGGATTTTGAAGAAACAAATACTAGGAATGCGTTAGAGTGAAATAGGTTTCTATGGTTTGCCTACTGTAAGTTGACATGTAGGGAAGGGTATGGTAGGCTAGGATCAGAGGCATAACAGAAACCAGAGGGCTGAGCTTGTAAAGTCTGAGTACTGGTGGTGGTGGGTGTTTAAATACAGAAAAAGCAAACCAAGTGATTTTTGATTGATACTGTCTGAGGATGGACTTAAGGCTGGGTGAAATGTGCTGCACAAGTGAAAAGTTTTGGGTAGATCAAGAATAAAGCTCCTTGGGTTTTGTGAAATTGAGTAGATAAACTTAGACCCAAGAGACAGGTTAAAATCTTTAGGCAGCTCCAAAGCTTATCACACAGATATGGGTTTGTTTTTTTCTTTCATCTTCACTGACCTCAAAAGGCTATTGTACGTATAAAATGGGGAGGAAAAATCTGGTGTTCTAGACAAAAAGGCAGGTTAAATATGTGATAAATATGGTAATAGTAAGAAGTGGCATTATTTTGAGTAATGAGTGAAGTCTGACATTTTCAGTCTTCTCTCCCTTTTCCTCATGTTTCTGTAACCTACCACCATTTCTCCTTCAACCTTAGGAACAACTTTCACGCTCATTGATCACAAGCCTACGAGTGACCCCAGCCTCAATGACTAAGCGTGTTCAGGAGAAGCAGCAGAAGCTACTCCAAGAGTGCAATGACTTACTTCAGGGTGATGAGCCATGTCGGACCGATATTGTCTCGTGTCTGGAGAACTACCTCCAATGTGAGGCTAAAGATTTCCTGGAATATTACACCCGCCGTTACAAACCCCATGCCATCAAAGCTGGCATAGCCATCGGGGTGGGTGCTGTGGGTTTAGCTGGTGGGGCTGTGGGAGCTGGTGTGGCAGCCGCCTTGTTGGCAGCAGAAGCCATTGTGCTGAGCACTGGTGCTGCTGCTACTTTTGCGATTGGGACCGTGGCTGGGGCAGGCACGTTGGCGCTTGTTGGGGGAGGAGTAGGAGCTGGTGTGGGGAACAGGATAGGGAATGCTAAGGTCCAAGAAGTCAGGAATATGGCTGAAGATAATAATGAGGTTGAAGAAGAAGAGGAGGTGAATCCGTCGGATGAGAGGAATCTTATTAGCTCTTAAAAGTTGGAGCCCATACCTCTTCTTGCAAAGAACGTGTGCCTGCCATAAAGACGTAAATCCCAGGAGTCTAGTCTCATGTGCACCCCTTTGTCCCAAGAGCTATGAAGAATTGGTCACTCATTATGTGGCCATTCTGGGATAGCAGTAAAATAGCATAGTTCCTACACAAAGATTTGCACTAGTGACAATAAAAGACAAAGGGAACATGCTTTGTCTAGTGGTAATTAAAATAATAATGATTTCTTCTGTGTCTCTCCCTCCCTTTTTGAGGGGGGGCAGGCCCCAATGAATTACCAATCCATTTACAGTCTATGTCTCTCATTAGCCTTAGCTGTAGACATGGAGCTACTTGCAGATATCCATTCTTTGGGTGAAAATCTAAAGCAATATATTATGGGCTTTGTTGTCATCTCAGATATATCACAAAAGGCCATTCCTTCACCCTTTGCAGAAAGAATGTGACACTGCCCGTGTGACACCTTTCCTATGGAACTGAATTAAAGGTGCAATTCGAGGTTCTGGTGGTCACCTTTAAAGCAGTACATGACCAAGTCGGCTCTGCTGGTCCAGTAAGATCAGGGAGAGAAGGCATGTTAAGGGTCTCTGTGCTGAGAGAATTTCATCTTCATGGACGCCATTCCTGAGCCTACTCAGTGGTAACAACCTCTTTTGCAAACACCTCCCCCAGGATATAAGGACTGTTCCTTCCCTGTAACTTTTCAGAGAGTTTTAGAGGCTCTTCTGGAGCATATTTAAGGGAAAGATGAAATGTTGGGCGATAGGAACCGTATGTTGTTCTTTGTGGTTCCATGTTTTTAAGTTGTACTACTATAATAGATTGTACCAGTGATTGGAGAAGAACTAGAAATCTCTGTGGATGATGATGATGATGATGATGATGATGAATAACAAACAGATTCAACATTTTTTTACAAGAACCTAAATACTTTGGCTATATCAGCTGCAGATTTACAAAACGCTGTCTTGCTTGGCACATGATGTACTACATCTTATGACATTACTAGAATAATTCCTAGGTTCCTGGCTGGAACTTGAATTTCCAAAGAACACCTGTCAAATACATGATTCTGTTTGTTTGTTCTTTGTATTGTAATATTCCTTGATGAATAAAAACAAATAATTATAATTATAATTATATCAAAATATAGTTTGCAAAATTATTACTAAAGCAATTGTTGAGATAACTAGATCTGACTTTTAAAGGAATTCACGGTAGTAGAGGGAGTTTCTCCCATCCATTTTATCCTCACAAACAACCTTACAAGGTAGGCTAGGCCAAGAAGGTGGATGATACCCCTCAGAAAATGACAATATCCATATTCAATCAGTCTTTCCCAGCTTGGTGCCCTCCAGATATATTTAGTGGCAACTTTTTTTTTATCTCCTACCAAACCCAACACAACCGTCCCAACTAAGTTCCTCAAAACAGGATTTGCCTCTGAGTAAAGAGGCATAACATAGCATAGTTGCTGACCTTTGTAAATGACTGAATTTGAACTCAGGTTTCCTGCAAAGTTCAGTCATACTTACTCTATGCCTGTTGATTTCCAAAAGGTCTGATTTTAATTTATAGAGGCTGCAAATCTATCCCCAGAAGCGTAGCTTTTATAACAAAATATTGCAGACTAGAATTTCACCGTTTCAAAGTAAACACTGTCTGCCATTCTGTCATGTAATCTCCACATATACAAGCTGGAAGGTTACCATTATGTGGGTGATGACCAGGGTCTGGAAAAAATAATGGAGCAGTGAACATTTTGACACAGAGAGACTCTCCTGGAGGTGGGGAAAATTGAAGCAAGCTAAGAAGATGGCAGGAAGATGTTGGAGAAGATGGAGAGGGGAAGCAGCAAAATGGGTATTAGACACTTTTCAGGCTGCTGAAGAGATGCACATTCCAAGGTGATTCAGGATTACTAAAGAGGAATCAGCAGAGGGGTCATTGTGCATGGAGGACAGTACAGTATGGGAGTTGTCCACCCTGAGGAAATATCCAGTGGGACAAGAGGATCCAAAGACACAGGAAAGTTGATCCAGATTTTGCTAGGTGCCAGCTACATTTGAATGAGAACGCTTGATGAATTATTTGAGGAATTTAGTGGCAACTACATTGTAAGGCAGGCACATCTCATTTTAGCAGAAGCAGTACGGTTGTCTGCAGAGACATAGTTAATCTCAAAAAGGTTGGCCATAAAATAATTTGCTACATTCTAATCTGCTTTGAAGATAGACACGAAAAAAGGAGAACTGTAGGTTGGTTTTTCTGCATCATCTGAATTCTGTCTGCTTGGTTTCTAACCGGAAAACTTGAGCCTTCAGAAAAACAGCTGTCTTTGTATGCTTGTTATGCTGAGAATAAAAAAAGGAATGGCTCTCAAGAAAGATCTTATGTGCTCTATTTCGTCCTGAGAACTCCCAACTCAATCACTCCACCCCACTGCCAACGTGCTGGATCTGTTGAGCATGCTCCATTGCCATTGGGGTGTTTCCCTTGATTTTATTTATTTATTTATTGTAAGAGTCTGCTAAAATTATTTTGCAGTTTTTCACAAATTGGACTTCCTTCAAGCCTGCTACTGTCTCCCTCTGGCATATGAGCTATCTCATTTTGGTTGCATTCAATACAGATTCTTACTTGAGCATGCAGGGCTTATCTGGGAGCAAGCTCTATTCAACACAGAAGGTCTTGCTTTTGAGCAGACATATCTCAGATTGAACCATGAGTCTAGATCTCGATGCCAATCATGTGACTGATTTTGATTGGTGATGTGCCATCAAATCGGTGTTGACTCTTAGTGACCACATAGGTTTTGTTCATTATGACCTGTCCGTAACCACATCCTTCAGTTCTAATGACGCACCCTTCGTCACTGTAATAGAGTCCATCCATCCACCCTGCTACTGGTCTTCCTCTTCTCTTTCCTTCCACTTTTCCCAGCCTAATACACTACTCCAGAGAACCAGAACTTCACATAATGTGTCTGAAGTATGGTCATTTAAGCCTGGTCATCTGTGCCTTGAGTAAGAATTCTGGGTTGATTTGTGTGATGATCAATTTTTTTGTTTTCTTAGCTGTCCAATCATTTATCTCACTATTTATTCAGGGGCATTGTGAAAATAAGAGTGAAAAAATGGTCCAAGGAGTTTTACTGCTGGAAATAGAATCCTCTCTTCCCAATTTTCTTTATAATAAAGAAGGGGCTTGCAATTTGGGGCATTCTGCCCTCTCCCTCAGAACTCCAAATTTAAACTTTATACTGTAGTGATTTAATTAATTAACTCTATCATTTCTGCAGAAAGTATTGGATTTTATTAGCATGTTATTTTTCTCTTTTGTTTGCATCATCATCATCATCATCATCATCATCATCATCATCATCACTACTACTACTACTACTACACACTGCCCAGAATCCTTTGGGATTGTGGTGGATTATAAGATGGAATGACAGACAGATGTTAAGGAATAGAATTTTAAAAGATAAACTTTTCACAAGATTTAAGTTCCCATGTTCAGCTGCAAGCTATCAGATGTTATAGCCCACCTGTGTGAATTTGGTGATGGGTGCTCCAAATCTTCCAAAAGAAAATATCTTAGGATACTTTCAAAAAGAAGGGAAAAAATGAAAATCCCAAGATCTTATTTATACTTGTTGATACTTAACAGAACACACATAAATCAATAACAACAACAACAACAACAACAACAACAACTATTATTATTATTATTATTATTATTATTATTATTATTATTATTATATTTCTACTGTGCCCTTCCAACCATCAGGCATTGAAGGAAGCCAACAGCATAAAAAAATGAAAACAGTAATGAAAAAAAATCCTATTAATAGAATTCTATGTGGTTGAAGAGAAGGGTATTGACTCCTTTCTGAAATCAACGAGCTTTCTCAGAAGGAACTCTGAGTAAATTAACAAATGGACCCAAGTTGTCTAATTCTCCAAGGTCACCCACTTCTGTTGTCCCACAGATATTTGTGTAGTACAGATTGTGGGCTGCGCCTTCAGTTCTGGGGTGTTCAGGTGTTGTATGTAGCACCAAGATTTCCCTTCCTTCTCTCTGCAGCTGCATTTTGCTCTTTGGCTTCCTCCCAATCTCCCCTTTCCCCTTCTTGCCAGTTGGTCAAAGAGGCCCTTTGTTCTTGAATTCCTGCTCATAGCAAACACCTCTTCCACCTCTCTGCCTGTTCTTCTCCTCCTGGTACTCGCATTTCTCTTCTTTCATTTCATGGATGGGAATACCACTGAATTTACTCACTGGAAAAATATTTGTGAATATGTTGTTTCTGTCTACAATGCATCTATTTTAATCCCTAGGAAAGGGCTACCATCCTTAAATAATACATCTTTTAATAAAGAAGAGAGGCCCCAAATGTAATGGAATAAATCCATATATTACCCAGTTTATGTATGCATAGAGGTTATAAGAGGCTGGGGGATGAATAGAGGGACTTTATTTTTCCCATGAAGAAGAGGAAATCCAATTCTTGCCCCTTCCTCCCTTTACTGTGTTGTGTTGCTTTAAAGAAAGTTTCTCTCAGATGGCTTGGATGCCAGAAGCAAACCAAGCTATGAGGAAGTTCATTACAGCACAGGTTAATTGAGGTACCTTTATGCTCCCGGTCATCCAAGGGGCAGACCCCCAGCTCCTTTCTTACAACAACAAGAATCTCTGTTCAGGATGACAATTTTTCCCTGTAGGTGTGTTCATCCAGTGTATTAAAAACATCTCATATTCCTCCACACCAGATGAAAAGCACCAAGAAATTCAGTCCCACTGCCTCTGGTGTTTTTACAATATCACCATCCAAACCCAGTGTGATCCTTGGACCCTTTAATAGAAGTAAAAAGAAGTAGAAAGAATCATTAACAATTGTTCCCCCTCTGCCTGATTACAAGAGAGGAAGAGAAGATCTGCTGAAGAATGAGGAAAACTGCTTTGTGGAGCCATGGATGCTCTGTCACTGGAAGCTTTCAAACAAAGGTTAGGCAGGTATTTGGGAAGGTGTGAGGATTCCTGCCCTGGGCGGGAGCTTAGACTAAAAGACCTCCAAGTCCTGTATAACCCTATGATTCTGTAATTCTGTTTTCCCCAGGGTCTCCCCAGTGTTAGGGCTGACCCTGATTAAAAGCTTCACAGGGGGCTGAATGGCAGAATGGGGATTTCCTTAACAGGGAAGGATACCTGTTCTGCACAGGTATGCATCAATCATCGGTCTACCTGTTTTGGCATCACTGACAGTCAAGCCAGCTGTTCTTCCCATGGCAGCTGAAGGTTGTAGAGTTACAAACCCTTCCCTGGAGGCTCTTTTCATTGGGAGAATCAGCCCTTTACCTTTGCTGCCATAGGTACAATTTTGTTTCTAGGTCACCTTTGGGAGGGCTTGCAGAAGGTATGTCAGATCCCTGGCACATGACACTGGAAGCTACCGTGTAGAGAGTAGCTTTGTTGCTCTCATGCATCCAGTAGGCATGTAGTGGGAGGAAACCAAGGGGAATGGAGTTTCCCTTGTCTCTCTGCTGCAGCATCTTGATCTCTTGGGCAATGATTGGATCTTCCTGGCTACACATGGATTCTGGAGAGGACAGAATTCCCCCAAGATGTCATCCAGGTAAACCGATTGCTGAAAGCATGAAAAGTTGATATCCTGTGTTCAGAACTGGAAGTTCATCTGGGAGTCCATCTTCTCTCTGGGTGATGGTTTTACAACGGTTGCGTCTTGTCCTCTCTATTTGTCCATTCAACCTCAGGAGCTGGAGGATTAACCTGCTGGCACTCAGGAGCCCCACAGATGCTCAAAAGCAGCAACAGGCACTGTTACCCGATGCCGTTCCCTGGCAAGAAGTTGGTAATGAAACTGAA